CTCGCCTCGTATATCGCTCTTGGAATCCAAGTTACCGTAGTACTGGGTACCCATGCCAGCCTCGGGATGTCGTCTGGTTACACGTGCGATCGAATTTAAGCACCGGCTTATTCGGGCAGACCTTGTCAGCGATGATGACGGCATCAGCACTCAAGGGATCCAGTCTCCGGATACATAACGATTATATCAGCCTTTAGCAGCAGAAACGAGGCCTGCTCGTGCTCGCGGAGTGCAAACGCAAGTACAAGCACCTATCATAGGCCCCTGTTGATTTTTTCTTCTCGAGGCATACGAGTACGGCTATATCAAATATCACATCACCATGTAGCACGAGGTGGCCATTGCCCCAACAAGGCAGCGAATCAGACGAGACATGCGCAATGTAGGTCCCTGGTATCTACTAAGGCATGCATATAGAGTACGTGTACTACTGCACCTGTGAATGGGGGCCTGCCTTTAGCTCTGGCTTGTTGGCTACCATCTGACTTTTTGTTGTTTGAATCGATTCCTGTCTCGATTTGCATTTGCACCTCTGCCTTAGAGAAGCCACAAGTAAAGGCGACGGGCCAGCATCCGGAAGTGGCGTCTTGATGGCTCGGAAAGAAGCTGGTTGAGATGGAGACTACGAGTACAAAGAAGATTACCGCTGCATTATTGTCCAACTCGGCCGTAAGACATTGAATAGTAAGACGTGAGCCTCTCGGGGGAAAAGACGTGATGGCGAGGCACATGGTCGGGGTCCATCTTTGGGTAGAGCCAACAGACGAGATACTTGGGAGTACCTGCCGGCTTCCCCTCCATCCCGCCCGTCCTCGTAGGTCCCTTCCCTCCATTCAGCCAAAAGCGAGGCCCCACCTCCAGACCAACTCTATCCGGCCGCATGGCCAATGCGGATGTTGGTGAAAGCAGCGCCATGCAGGAGCTACGCAGGAGCCAATGGCGAGGCGGCCTCGATCCAATTTATTGCCCAATACTGACTAGCCGGGGCAGGAAACTGACTGTTGCTTCCGACGGGCTGCGACCCAGAACGCCGAGATGACGTCGTTGGCCCAGCTAGCGGCACCGACATGCCAGCCAATGCTGTGACGGCCAAATCATGCAGCAGCTGGTTAGGACTGTGGCCATGCAGGAGATGTACACGATGACTGGGAACCGGTACTTCTTACGCGCAAACTGATTCACATCTGGCATGAGCTCAAGGGGCAACTCGGGCCCGATTTGCCACGAAGCGTGTCTGAGGCCAAGTCTGAATTATTTTTTTCTTCATCACGCATGACCCGATGACTCCATGGACTTTCTCACAACACGGCCATCAGCTTTTGAAAATAGAACCGCGCGGTCCATAATAACGTCAGGCCGGGCGCAGACCAACACGAGCTAGGAATGACTGATCACTTGGATGCATGGAGGCGCACAGACGCACCCGGGGTGGCCATAGCGTTGGCTGCTGCTCTCTGCTCTGCTCTGCTCTGCTCGACCCCGTACGAGGAGGTACCTTACTCAAGTACTCTGCTCGTACCTTGTCTCCCCCTCGACTTGCTCCAGAGCTAGCCTCCATGCGATGCAACTTCGGACCTGGCCACTTGTGTTGTAATCCTCTTGCAATGTTGCTGCTCTGCTCTGCTCTGCTCTGCTCTGCTCTGCTTCTTCTTCTTTTCCATTTCAGCATCCCCCCCCTTTTTGGGCCAAGTCACGACCCATGCCCCGTTCAAGTGTTGGTCCGTACGTAGCTGAGCTTGGCTTTGCGTTGCGTTGCTATGCTTCGCTATGCTTTGCTTTGCTAGTTCTCCTAGCCCTCGACGACGCGTTCACTTTATGGGACCGACTGAGCTGCTGCGACTCTGCACGCGCGCAACGCATCAACTAAAATAAGCGACGCGCAGCTGGATCTCCATATGGACCACTAGTGTCGGTTTTTGAAAGAGGCGGCTCGTCGTATCAAGGCAATCTATTTGGGCAGGTAAAACACAGGGCCAAACTCACTTAGATTAATCAATCCCATGAGCACAAGAGAGCGGGCAGAGAGGCTGACCTGAAGGATCAATCAACGGAAGCTGCAGTTCCCAACAAGGCACTATTGCCGAGTGCCTTGGCGAGCCAGCAGGGGTGTTTTGGAGCCCCGGGTTCGAGAGCATTGCTTGCATATCTGGAGTGAGTTCATTGACTGCACGCCTTACGGAGGACAAGGGCAGCGGTTGGCCGAACCAGCGGAGGCTAACGGGGGTATTGATGGGGATTACTGACAATATTCGATGCACCTTATCAGCTTATACTTGCACGGCTATTGTCTCTTTGTGTCTACTGTAGCGAACCTTGCTTGTATATTCCAGGGTGTAGTATGGATATCATACCGGCTTATTACTTGCTGTACTACCACCTATTTCGATGCTATACTTGGGGGCGGTAAGGTACCTTGAATATTGTACGAGTACAGGATATTGCTACTGCTAATAGCACTTTTCAAATAGTATATCCCGGCTTATTATCACCTTTCCAAACGACGGGGTATTTTTCTTGCTGCGGACGGACAGACGACGACGACAACAACTCCTCGCACGCTTGCATGCTCGTATAAGTGGTACTCGTACTTTTTAGTAGCAGCTCACGATGGCGAGCTGCAGGGATGCTCCTCTTTGATGCTACTGGTACCGACGAATCCCAAACCCGTGCGTGGATGCTACTGACTCTGCGCACGGCTGAGCTGCAGCAGCCCCCCCGGCTCGTCAGAAATAACCGGGACGCTCGTCTTGCCATGTTGCCATGATTTCATCTGCTAGGCTGCTCGTACATAAGTCGGTATCATCCTCGTCTTTTCAGCCGTTCTGCTGCATCTGTGCTGTCATTCCGCCCTTTAGCATCCATCCGTCTTAGCCACAACACAAGGGACCGCTAGCATCGCACAAGCGCCACTTGCAGTACCCCGTACATGCGAGTACCTGGCATCTACTTCCTACCTGGTCGAGTTACGTACCTGCGAGAGTCCATGCTCTGCTGAACCGGGTTGCCTTGCCTCAAACTCCATCCTCCCTTGCTTCACCTTTCTCATCTTTTTTTTTCTTCTCTCACGCCCCCTCCAACGCCTCTTTTGCAATCAAAAAAAAAAAAGTCTCCAGCCGCTGCGTCTTTGCAGCCAACCATGATTCGTCGCCATCCGCTTGCAGCCCTCCATCCGCGCATCCACAAATAAAATCCAGCATCGCATCGCATCCCACCCTTGGCCTCTTGGTCCAGCCCAGCCCAGCCCAGCCCTTTTTCTTTGCTCCCTCTCCCTCTCAACCCCCCCGCCCCGTCAAGCCCGCTCTTGTTTTCTGCAAGTCTCTGCGACCTCTAGCGTGCGAAAAGCGTGCTAACGTACGACATACCTACCTGCCACTGTCCCGTCAATTACAAAGCTCCTCTTCCATCTCCACCACCACCACCACCATAACCACCCTAAACCACCCTCCCTCTTCTTGCACACAACCTCCCGCCAGACATCGCGCCCACATCCGGCACAAGGTCCCCCAGCTCTCGCGACGTCTGCGCTTTTGTTTGCTTTTGCGTCGTGCCTCGCTGCGCTACGCTACTGCTAGTAGTACTTCTGCCACTGCACTGCACTGCACTGCACGCTTCAACTCACTCAGCCCTTTCGCGAGTCTCCACCGAGTCGACTCGAGTCGCGCTGCTTCTAACCATCGCCGATTGCCTCTCTGCAGACAGACTCGCAGACACGCGCACGCACGCCGCAGACAAAAGTCGGTCGCCGCTCGTGTTTCCTGACTGCCGCCTGGTGCGATCGTCATCGTTACTGTCGCACACGCGTCGCGCTCCTCGTCCATCAGCTTGTTGGACTGCACTCACTGCACTGAAATCAAGGTAACGACGATCCAAGAAAAGTTCCTTTCCCTTGACCTCTACCCCCCCCAATCCAGCCCACTGGCCCCCCCCCCCCTCCCCGCGATATCGAGCATCGCAGAAAATAAAGCTGTATTGTGCCTGTTGTCTCTACGCAGCCATGGCCGGCTCTTCATCGCATGCCTCGTCGCTCTGCCTCGAGCTATTCTTCCCTTGAGCTGGAGCTTTGAAGCAGCCGTCTTGGGCTTGCGCCGCACTCGGGCTACACTACACCACGGTGCTTCTGTCTGTTCTCGTCTGCTGCCTGTCCGTCTATCCATCCGGCTGGTTTCCTTCGGTTCGCCTCCGGCCACTGCCCGCCACACCCATCCACGCCCCCATGGAAGCCAACCTGCAGGACAAGCCCGTTCTTCTGCACCTCCGTCCATCCTTGGAACTTCGCCAGCCCAACTATTTCACGACACGTCGCCGCCATCGCCGCTGCCGCCACCGCCGTTGCTGCTTGCTTGGATCTTCTTGTCATGTACTCCGCACAACCAACAGGCGCCGACGGTGCGACAATCAATCCCGCTGCCCTCAACTCTGGTGAGTTGTTGATTCCTCATGTCATATATTCTCTTGTCAATGTCATTGCCCCTCCATCTTGAACTCTTATGTCGGCCCCCTCCCCCGCCAGATCGTGACTGCGCGCCGCATCTAAAAAAAATCATCATACCATCTGCCTTTTTGCGCTGCGCATTGCGATCTCTTCCCCCCTACCGCATTCACAATGCCTCGCGCGCCTCTTACAGCCTATTCTTTACGCACCTTCGTAATGCTGACCCGCCGCCCGTCTTAGACATATTCAGCGCGCCGCCTCGGGGTATCAAGCGCAATCGATCTCCGGACCTTGTCGACTCTCACCGGCCTGGCGATGACGGTATGTCGGCAAAAGATCTTGTGTAGCTCGGAGTCCTGCGCCGCGTTTCACAGGGCCTCCGGATATCCTTGACATGTTACATCCTGCCCAGTGCGACGCTGCGCAAGCTTTTGGCCTTTGGAACGACGAGACGAGAACCGAGCGACGAGACTATATCACTTCATGCAGTTTTTAGAGAACGGCGCGCTAACTATAAATCTGTCGCTTTCTAGGTGATCGCCATCTTCAGCACAAACGAATAAGACCAATGAAGGCCCGAACGACAGGAAGCATTTCCGAGGCCCCCGGGCAAGCCCCGGGCGGAGCCGTGCCTCAAGCCATCCCGCCGCCTCAAGCGCCTCAATCGCAAAACCCTGCGCTTCCGACCCAGACGCCGCCATCCTACTCGACTCCGCAGGCGCAGCTGCCTCCCAAGCCGGCGCCGACCAAGACGACCCTTAAAGCGCTGCCCACGGTGCGAGATCATACCACTGACCAGCTCAACCCTTCGGGCGACGAGTACATCCCGCGCGAGACGGACGAGTTTGGTGAGAAGAAGGTGATGCCCAATGGCCAGCTCCTTGGCAACCGCCAATACAGGTGTCGCACGTTCCTGGTTCCAAACCGTGGAGACAAGCTCTTTATGCTGGCCACCGAATGCGCTCGAGTGCTGGGATACCGCGACTCATACCTCTTGTTTAATAAGAATAGGTCGCTCTACAAGATTATCGCTAGCCAAGCTGAAAAGGATGACCTTGTCCAGCAGGAGATCTTGCCTTTCTCGTACCGATCGAGGCAGATCGCCATTGTTACCGCCCGGTCCATGTTCCGACAATTTGGAAGCCGCGTCATTGAAAATGGCCGTCGAGTTCGAGACGATTACTGGGAAACAAAGGCCCGGAAGCAAGGCTTCACCGAAGCCGATCCCGCCGGAGAGAAACGACCTGGAGCCGCCAAGGCCAGGGAGGCCGCCGAAGCAGCGCAGAACAACGTTCTGCTGGGCAACCCGCATACGGAAATCGTGTACAACAACACGCCTGGACCGTACCCCGGTGCGCCTCAGCCTCACCTCGTTCAAGGTATGATGGGAGCACCCGGAAGCGCGACAAGAATGCCGGCATTAACGGTTGGACCAGACCTCAGTGACAGCAGATCCAGGGACTACGGCGGTATCGTCAAGGGCGGCCCGCGACAGGAGATCACCGGACCCCCGTACCAAGATCAGACCAGGCCTTCCCCTCTGGTGGAAATCCACTCGCAGGCCCATCACGCCGCCGATTTCAACCGATCCGTGAACCAGCAACGTGATATGCGCGACAACTACCTTCAGGGCATCTGGCGCCGGCCGCACGAGCAACCTACCCAGTCAGCCCTCGGTCAACCGCCTGTGGCTGCATCGGCCGATCCGACTATTCCCACCAGCCGGCCGACGAATTCGCCTCACACCACCGCTGCCGGCATAGCCCAGCCCGGCGTTGTTTCGTCTCAAAGTCCTCAGATGATGATGACTGCGGCCCCATACTCCCAGTCCATCAATGCGCAAAGCGCGCTCGGTCAAGCTCCCATCAGAGGTATGGCCCCTTTGCCTTTAACAACCAAGCTGAGCATCCGCGAACCAACACCTTCTGCAGGATCGACCGGTAGCATCGGTGCTGGAACAGCTGGATATAGCTATCAACAGCCCGGCCAGATGTGGTCTCAGAGTCCCCAGACGCCGCAATCTAGCTACAGCAGCTATACAACGCAGCCTCAGGCCCAGCATCCTTCCCAGTCTCCGGCCTCGCAGCTCCGCCAGACGGGCGCCAGCCAGATGCAGCCGAGCATGCAGTTCCCCGGCATGGGAAGCATGCAATACAGCACTAGCCAGGGCATGTACGGTGCGGAGCAAACACCTCGTCAATACATGCCTCAAACTACGCCCAGTGCGCAGTCAGCCTCTCAACCATGGTCGGGCCAACACCAGCAATCCCAGCAGTGGTGGACGCCTCAACAGCAACAGTAGTGTCCACCTCCGATGTGGCATTGCGCTGTGAGCGGTTGGCTTAACTAAGGCTTGTAGTAGTCGATATTGTTAAAGCATGACTTGTTACTGCGTTGCTTGCAGCTCTTCTTTTCTGCACGTTCTGGTTTGGAGAACTGGTTGGTTCCATTGGCTTTATTTTTATTTCTGGGACCGAGCTCCTGCAGTATTCCAGATACCCCAAGCATACAGGTTGGTTGGAGCGGCTTTTTGCTTTCTTGAGTCAGCGGCTCGTTTTGAACGATGCGCAGCATATGGCTCAGGTAGGATAAAGGAGTCGGAGGGAGGTCGGTAGGATGCTTTTGTTTCCTTTTGCTTTTCTTTTTCCTTTTCTTTATTCGTTTCCCCCCCTTCGCTTCTTTCTCCCATCTTCTTGTTGCCTTCACCCTTTTGGACCAGTGGTTTTACAAGAACCCTGTACCATTTTTATTGCCTATGGCTATCTGATGTCTATCTTTCCGCCTTGCTCTTTATTTTTTAACGGCCGAATTGTTAGCAGGTGTCCAGAATGTTCTCTGGACAGGGAATTCATGTGTCTTTTTTTTTTTGTACCGGAATTACGAAGGGAGGGAACTCCTACTTGGCATCTCTTCACGGCTAATCCTCAATGTTTTGGCGGGGCATGTTTCGCGTTGATGTTGATACCACTTGGTTTGCTTTAGTCGTCAAACACACTTGATGAGAGAAATTGAGATTCCTCCTATGGTTTTTTATTTTATTTTTGTATTAGCTTGATGGTCTCCATTGATTATTTGCACTCTTCAGTTTCTTGGAGGGGGGCTTGAATAGCTAGCTGTATTTTGCTCTCGTCTTTCTTTTAATGTCTGCTCAGACGGCTTATTTCGTGGGTATACTTTGGTGTTTGCGTAGAATGTTGCTGATTCGGCTCCGTGATGGGAATAAATATGGATGACTTGTTGAATCTTTTGGTCTTGGCCAAGGGCCTCCGAGTCGGCTTGACTGATGCTTGGAGCAAGACGTGACTTTTACCATGTCTTGTTCGAAGTAGTGAATGAATATGGGGTTATCATGCTGATACCTTTGAAGAAACCTGGTGTTATCCAACCTTCTGTTACCACACCAAGTGTTCCAAAAAAAAGTTGAAGTTGCGTGTAAAATCACGGTTCAGATGATACCAATTTCTGCATAGGGAAAAAAAGAAAAGAAAAGAAGAGCTTCATCACAAACTCCATCTTTTTTTTTTTTGCTCGAATACGTGCCATCTACATAACTTTAATCGCTCTCATCACCTTCCAAGGCCTCATCCGCCTCCTCTCTACTCCTCCTCTCCTCCAGCGCATCCTGCGTCTCATCACCACTAGCCTCGCCCTCTCCGCCATCTTCCGCATCGTCTTCATCAGCAACCTCTTCCTCATCTTCCTCATCCTGAGCATCTTCGTCACCCTCATTCTCGTCATCCTCATCGTCGTCGTTGATTTCATCGTCCTCGTTGACAATGGCATCGACTTCCTCGTCGTCGCCGGCGGAAGGGTCGACGCGGGCCTTTTTAGCACGCGGGCCGGACGAGCCGGAGGCTTCCGAGGCAATGGTTGTGTCGGCCATGTCGGTGTCGTCGCCGCCGTGCTTGGAGGCGCGGACTTTTTGGCGGTAAGAGGTGCGTTTTTCGGTTTGTATGGCGTTGAATTCTGGAAAAGGGGTGAGTTAGAGAGAAGAGAGAAGAGAGAAGAATGGGGGTAGGGAAATGAGGCAACGATCCACAGAGAGTGGTCTTCTTGTGTGCATAGAAAACGCGAAGATCGATAACGACAAGAAAAACCTTGTGCTTGCGCGGACGTACTGGCAAATTCAGCCTCGAGAGGCTCTTTCAAAAAGGAAAACTCAGTGTCGTCCAATGCTTTAAAGACATCTGCTGGGAGAATGGTCTTTTTGCCTGCAGCAACGGTGTTTTCGTTGGCGCTATGATGGCATATTGTTAGCATCACATGCCCTGAATGACACCATATGTGAAGCTCGACATACTGTGAAGCTAGATAGCTAATAAAGACGGTGGCGCTCTTGCTCAGCGCCAGGATCGCGTTGCCTTGAATCTGCGTATTCGGGGGCAGAATCCCCTTTGCCAATCTTGTGATGATGGATTTGGGAAGATTCAAGTCCTAGCGAAAACATGTGAGCCTAGACTTCTCTTATATCTGCTTGGAGCACAGCATCGATAGTGATTAAACTTACCTCTATGGTTACTGGGTCTTCCCCTTTGCCCTTGTCTTTATCCTTGTCCTTCTTATCCTGCTTGTCCTGTGCCTGAGGAGCTGCTTTTGCTGGAGGAGATGCCTCCTCAGCAGCGACAGGAGTTGCTGGCCGAACGTCGGATTTGCGAGGAGGCATGTTTGCCTTTTTTTCTTCTCCCGTTTAGACAATGAAAGAGGGGTATATTCAGTGCGAGATGAAATGAATGGTGGTGGGATGAGACGAGCGTAGTTGGTTTGGTTGGGGTTAAATGTGTGGCGTATGAGAAGCCAGTGAAGAAACCTGGTGACCCAAAAAGAAGGACAAGCAAAAGCGGTATATACCACCCACAAAGCCTCTATATATCGTGAAAGAAGAAGAAGAAGAGGAAAAGTTGGTCAATATATATCGGCAGTCGTGAGAAAAGAAGAACGAAAAGAGAAGGGGTTTGAAATGCCCGATCCAAAGTCTGATACAGCAGCCCCTCAAAAAAAAAACCGACAACTCTCACGCACCGCCCTCTCACGCAGAAAGCAAACAAACCAGGCAAGGCAAAAGGCTCGTCACAAAGTCAGGCTCAGCAGCAAACGTGTAAGAAAAGAAAGCCGAGACTCAGGCAGCCTTCAACAAGAGCCAATTGGACACGCAGAGGCCGTTCAACTGCGTCGTAAAGCCGTCGTCAGAGAGCTAAAGGGGGGAGAGATGTCGAAGGACCAGTATCGCCGCGGAAAAGGAAGAGATTTTCCGGGTTCCGTTTATCAGAGATGTCAGGCCAGGCAGTTGTGGCAGAGGGAATGATCCGGTAAGAGCGCGTCAATGCAGGACGATTACGGTTGCAGAGTCTGTACAGGGTCGAGATAGATGGGATTATGGAGCAGCAAAAGGTAGAAAGAGAAACGGCACGCTGAGGTTGAGTTGAGTTGGACGCGTTGGCCCCCGCCGTGGCGCGCGTTAAGTGGTTTTGCACAGCGCCGCATGTACCCTGTACCACGGCCGCTAATTACTTTTGCAGTAGCTGGTGGTATACGGTACCGGCAACGCCATCAGAATGCAGTTTAGGAGTTTAATTCAGGCCACTTTCAAGATTCAAACACAGATGAGGCGCTTCTTTTCTTGTCAGAGTGGTCAATTTGGCTACAGTATTTTCTCGTGTATTTGCTTGCTTCCGAGCATACTTCACTTTCACTCCCCGGTCATCCCTTCCCGCGTCAAAAGGGCTCAGCATAACCGTCTCCAGCATATCTTCATGCCTTCATATCCATCCGCTTCCTTTCTCATATTCCAACCTCAAAAAAACATGTAATAAAAAACCTCCATGGCAGTGATATGCGCTTGCTCATGGTACATAAGAAAATATGGGTATATCCGTCATATATCAAATAAATCATACTAGGAAAAAAAGGAAGAATCAAGGCTCAGCCTGCATTTGTTGTCGCTTACCAATGAAGCGGCTAAAGGTGTCTGGCACACGGATCCTCCGCAGGAGTGATGACACCTGCGTATCTGAAAGGAAGAGTAAAAGTACGGAGTAACGCTGGAAGAAGATGTAAAGAATGAAAAAAAAAAAAAAAAAAACGTGTGGGAAGGATCCCGCCGTGAGTCTGCGTCAATTCACGGACGAGGCCTCTTACACCCGAGAAGCGTGAACAAACAGTCATCGCTGTCATATTCTCCACATAGGTGGCCGTCAGAACGTATATTTCTCCCACTCGTCTCAGTGAGTGAAGCAAATCAATATCCAAAGTTTAATCATCCTCATTCATCGCACTCAAGGTGTATTGAGTTGGACTGACAATGACGAGTTTCATCCTATGGCGCGCCCAATTTCGGCTCTAAGCACCACCGGTCGTGGTGATAGACCAGTCAGGGGGACGTCATCATCGGTAGAGATCCGACGAGAAGCATGGTTGGCCGGTGTCGAAATGGTCGCCCTGCGAGATGCCGGCGCCGACTTGGAATAGATGTCAGCAGAGGGCCGAGGCGAGTTTCCCTCCGGCGTCTGGCTGTACCATTGTTCACGTTTAGCGCTGGAACCAAAGCTGCTTCTTGTGCTCCGTGAGCTTTTGGTCCGAGCATGACGAGGGGCGTTGGTTTTGGACAGACGCGTCGATGGGGTACGCTTAACATTGACGTAAGCCTGAGCACCTCGGACAGTTTCGTCTGTTAGACCTGGCCGAGAGTTTGGTGCTCGTGCAAGGACCGGTGTTGGGGGGATATCAATGCTCTGCTTCCCCCGAACAGGAGACCAAGGCTGCTGGTCTTCCGAGACCCGATTTTGGTAGACAATGACGCTCGATGACTTTACGGAACCAATCGATGTGCTTGCATGATGAGAGTGGTGAACTCGCTTTGGCTCGCTTACAGCTGATTCGGGAGAAGCGGGCGGCTTCTCTTCGTCGTCAACGCTGTGTGTGCGATCAATTTTCCAAGATTCAATCTCCTCATCGTCAATCGGCGTGATTCCTCGGTTGCGGAATCGAGCCTTTCGCCTTCTAACTCGGTGGTAGATGACGGCCGCCAAAAAAAGAAGGAATACGGACGGTATGACTGTGGCCAGAACGATTGTGACGGTTTCGTGTGAGGAAGATGAGCTAGCCATGCTGTCTGTTTTGTTCCGCTGTGGGTTTCGTAGAGCGGTGGCAGTGGTTGTATGGCGGTATCAAAGCTGGGAGCGTCGGTATGCCGGTATCACAAGGCCATTCGGACGACTCTGGATATATCCTGGATCCTCTTTTTTTTTTTTTTTTTGAACTCCAGGGAAAGCGAATGTCGGCTTTGCTTGAGAGAGTCCTCTTTCTTGTCTCGATGTCGTCGTTATCTGAATTGGCCACCTGAGACTCGATCGGCTTTACCCAAGCAAGCTTCGTTTCCAAGCGTAGTAACAGTGCCGAGTATTCCGAATAAATGATGACGGCAAGTAGTGATTGATATCGAATACGTTAAATAGAAAAGCGATCGGTTTCCCTTCCTGTAGAGGAAGAAGGGTCAAGAAGAAATAGCGAATGGCAGCTAGTGCCCACTGATTAGCTTTCTTCCCCTTCTGTTTTCTCTTCTTTGCTTTTCTGGTGTGTCGTTTACAGCTCCTCCAAGACGACGGAGAGAGCTGTGAGATGAATTGCAAATATAAAAGTACGCAAAGCCAGCGAATGATCAACTCACGCTCAAGGCTCGAGAATCATATTCCAACCCTGTATAGGCCCAAACAAAGAGCGAGTACTTGGAAGCAGCAGCGTCCAAGTACAAGTGCCCTCAGGAAGCAGAAGGGGAGAAGGGGGGGCTATCTCAAGAAGCGGGTGGACGGGATACTAATACAAGTGTGTAAATGCCAGTTCAAGGAGCCGCATGCGGGCGTGGGTGCATGTATGTACCGGTAGTGGTAAAGGTGGTTCTCACGGTGCAGTGCTCCGTATCGACAGTACGAAGCATGTACAAATATGCACCCAACTGGAGACCATGACACCTTTTTTGCAACTTCTGTGGATGGTGTCAAGGTGCGCAGGCGAAGGGACCAGGGGGGTGCAAGACGAGTGCCCACCCGCGATCCACACGCCAGCCCTGGTTCAATACAAAACAGCTCAAAGTCTTGACGGTGAATCTTGTAGTACTTGTATAGAATACGGAGCTTTGTTCCGCAGGGACTACTCCATATAGAGTATGGGAAACGGACAAGGCAGCAATAGAGGTAGCTGTAAAGGTCCTGCTGGTAATATTTGATCCCCCGTACCGCAATAATTTAAGCAGAATGATAAGGGGATCATGCTCGCTCGTACAGTAGGTCGTAGTGGTGTCAATATGTTGCCATCGCGAGAGGCGGAGGAGCTGCTAGCGTGCTGTGCTCAGCTGGTGGCCGTGTTAGCTCGTCCAGGCAAGGCCATTCATTGAGCCATTGAGCCATTGAGCAGCTCCTCGCCATGGACGCAACCCATTAAGACATGAATGGTTCGTGAGCATTGGTGTGAGTGGGTGCACGGCATATCTTCTCATTCCGGCTGGCCAGTTGACGCCGCCATTCAGCAACAATAGCAGACGAACAAAGTCGCTCTCCATCAGGTGCCTCCCCTTTGAGACCTCTTGGCCCTTTTTTGGGGTCGCTGTCGGGGGATGATCAGGGGTTAGTAGTTAGCGGACGCGTGGGGTCTCGACGAGAGCGAGACCTGATCCTTGGCCTCTCTCTGGACCCCCTGGTCAAGCGGCAGGGAAACGTGGCGCATCTCGCAGACGTGTCAGAGGCACTACAGCACAGTCCTGACTCGAATGGGCTGCTCGAGGGATGAGCGTCCACGGCCACGGCCTCTGGTTGGAGGAAGATGGAGGATTGACGGATTGAGAGCGGCCGATCGTTGCGTGTCGGTTGGATGCCGCCTTGCCACGCAGTCACGGGAGGATGAGGAGAAGCTTCGCGGATTGATTGATTGATGGATGGTGTGCCGTGCCTGTTGGTCGACAATTGCCCGCTTCACCCCCGAACGCCGCATTCCACCAGGACTTTTCGCGGCCTTTTTCTCTCTCTGCTCCGGATTTCTCATTTCTCTCCATTTACCTTGCGAGCGAGTCCAGGCTAGGGCCAGGAACCAGGCACAGAATCTTGCCCAGCTTGCCCAGGACCGGGCCGGCAGTTCTGTCTGACGTCTGTCCTGTACAGTCGCATTGAGGGCAATCTTAGCCAAGCTTCGGATGGCCAGCCCCAAAAAGAGCAGGCGGCCGAGTGATTCCTGGAGCTGTCTCGACTGAGTCTAGATTGTAATAATTGTCGTATTTACTCCGTACAGTCGGGTATTTTCGATTGTGTCTTGTCTTACCTTATTGGCACCGATGCTGCCTGATATTACAGGCAATGATTGTGTGTACTGTACGTACCGCAAGGCTTGGTATCAAGATACCAGCGAGGAGTGGTTCTGGTACCATTTGCTCAAGTCCTCGTACTGCAAGTGGACTGTGAACCCTTTACCTAGACTAATCGTACATGTACCAGATGCTAATGTATCAATTGATCTCGTGTGGCATCCAGAGAGGTCGCAGCATTGAGCACCGCCATGGGTACCTGAATCGATACCTGCTCCTTTGTACTCGCATCACCGGTATCGAGTACAGCGCCATGCACCCCAATTGACTTCAACCCATCAAAAATTGTCCAGCTTCACCCAATCCCACCTCTATATCAAGATATGAGGCTATTTCCTGCCCCTTGCATCGCTACGTGACGGCAATGCATGCGACCACCAGCACACATACAAACATCACAGTACCCGTAAGTGCTGCTACCCAACACCTGCTCGCTGCGGACTTATCGAGCATCAATCCCTCCATATCACCTCGACGTCGTGGCGTCTGCATCGTCAGCCGTCCTTGCAGGCAGTACAGTTGCGTGCGACTGCCTGTACGATGTACGCATGCAAGGGCTCTCGATCTCTCGCACGCAAGCAGGTCGGATCGGATTCTCTCGGTCACTTAAATCGGCTGCAGGGGCCGGCGTACTCAGACATGCATTGGCCCATCGCCATCTGGGGTCAAAGACAGTATAAGGCAGGAAAAGGGAAATGCTTGCACAGGGGAAACGAGGGACAAAAAACCAGTCCAGCCCAAATCAAGAGCGCCTTCCCTCTATTGACCCGAATTGGAACCTCGGCCTCGGAAATCTTAACCCGCAGAGGAGGTGGTTGGAGCTACAGCCGGACTTACAAGGACGCGCCTTGGGATACGGCCAGTAATACATCCTCTCAAGCCTCTCAGTTGCTGGACCGGCAAACTCGGAAGCGTATGATGCAAGGGGCCAGAAGTATTTTCTTGCCTAATTCTCCAGTCGTTTCTTCCCCGGCAGTGTACCTCGACTTGAGCTGGTTGATAAGCAAAGCGGGCTGCAGTTCCATCATATGAGTGATTCTACACGTCTCTGCTTCGTAATCCCAAAGCTCATACGGGGACGGGCAATCTAATGTCGAAATGGAAAGCCGTTTTACAAAGGTATCCTGGATACTATTGCTCCTTCAGCATCCCTTGTTGGATATCACCGGAATACGACGTCGACTCCCTGCCTGCTGCGGTATTGCTACCACGAATGCAAGCATATCACCGGCAAAGGTCATCAGTACTATTTCCAACCTATCCTTCTGAGTCTCTACCAGTACCAGCACAGACATCACTCGATAAGAGTATTTGACGCAATGCAAGAAACGTCGGCAGCCGCGAGTCTCGGGAGCCAACATAGCCCTCTGGATGCTGCGTACTAATACCGTGAGAATAAATGACTTGCGTTTACCCGTGGTGCTCAAGCTGCATCTCGCTCGCTTGTTCTTCTCCAGGTATCCGCCCGCGGAACGACCCACTGCTGGATGCTTTCTCTTCCATCGCTAGGAATAATGCGCCGAGATGACGGCGGGCTGAACGCTTAATGGCGTCTGTTCGTCTCGAGGCGGTTCGAGCTAGAGCTCGTCCTTGGCGCCCGAATCGATAGATCAGCTCTGTTGCTTCGGCGCAATGACCCCAGCAGAGCAAACCAACCGTTGTTAGAAGCAGTATAGACGCCTGTTTCACCCCAGCAATCGACGACAGCCACCACCGCAGCCACCGTCCAGGACTAAGCTCCTCCCGTATCCTGGCGCGTCTGTCTTCGTCACCTCAGTGGTCCAAAGAACCGCCGAGCAGCGAGTGAGCTGGCATCTCGACCTGGGCTACAGCGTACTTTGCAGAGTACATACGAGTATTGCTACTGTACCCGTACTAATAGCAGTAGTTCGAGTTTGTATGCATGAGCTAACGAGGGTCTAGCTATTCCCGCTAGGTAATCTGAAGCACTTGCAAACGCCACAGGCTCATTTTCCCGTCGATCAGCCCAACAACTGCAGAGGCGAGATATGAGGTGTAGCTTCTTTTACTTTTAGCTCTCCAGAGCACTTCAGCCATGGTGGAAAGGTTCGGCACGCTCAGAATCTACCTCTAGTGCTGGGCTAGGATCCAAGACGCTCAGCATCGTGTACCAAATTATGGAGTACACGAAGCATTCATGTCCGATTGTCCTTTCAAATGTGCTCGTACAAGGCGTTTTACGTCGGCCGATGTGCTCTTTATGCCCGCCGCATCCAATACAGAATTGGGAAGACTGCCCGGTTGCTTGGGCACGTTTTGATAAGTGTGGGTAATAACCTGTGAGGTGCATGTCACTAACACCCCTGGCTTGCTTTGGGTGGCACAACGATTTGGGGTGTCTTGCAGCTAACGATCATCACACTCGAGAGGCAAAAAAGAAAAGAAAACTCTGCATGCCTGCAGCGAGATATCCGGCCGGTCTGGCTGCAACTCTGACCTCCCATTCCGCGTGGAGCTGGCTTATCACGGGAGAGGCCGTTCATCGCGAAGTGGCTTGAGCGATCGACTAGCGAGACTTTGTCGAACAAGGGGTCCGCTTCTCCACTGCTTTATGGCCAGGAACCTCTTCTAGCGTCTTGGTGAACCCTTGCTCCTTGCGATCATGTGCCACCGCTGTTGGCTGGTGGCGTTTCGTTTCACCTTCTCGACAGTCTTGTCTTTCTCCCTACTGGGGTCAAACAGCACTTGGGTGAAAGTGTGGAGAATATTTTGACAATTATGGAGTAGGAACTGGGG